AAAAAAAAAAAAATACAAAAATTAACTGGGCATGGTGGTGCGTGCCTGTAATCCCGGCTATTCAGCAGCTGAGTGAGGCAGGAGAATCCCTCGAACCAGGGCGTCGGAGGTTGCAGTGAGCCAAGATGCCACCATTGCACTCCAGCCTGGCAACAGAGCGAGACTCCATTTAAAAAAAAAAACAAAAAAAGAAGTACAAAAGGAAGAAGAAATGATGGTCAACAGAAAAGGGAAGAGATCTGACAGAACCGTGATAATCTAAGCCATTCTGGGACCTTCACATCCCTCTGTATGATTCCTCTTGGAGGCCCCACTCCACACGAAATCAAAAATGTATTAAATTGCATCTGAGTGCAACAGAAAATATGATTTTAGACTATAAATAATTGAAAACATTTTGTAATTGTTAAATGATAACTCTAAATATTTAATTTAATTTATAATTGGCCATGGTTTCTAAACAATCTTCTTGCACCCTTGCAAACTACTGTGAAGATCTAGCCTACAAGTGTTTTCAAATATCAGTGTTGCCAGGTGTGATGGCTCATGCCTATAATCCCAGCACTTTGGGAGGCTAAGGCGGGCAGATCACTCAAGTTCAGGGGCTTGAGACCAGCCTGGGCAACATGGCGAAAGCCCGTCTCTACCAAAAAATTAACCAGGTGTGGTGTCACGTGCTTGTGGTCCCAGCTACCTAGGAGGCCAAGGTGGGAGAATGACCTGAGTCCAGGAGGCAGAGGTTGTTGTGAGCTGAGATTGCACTGCTACACTCCATCCTGGGTGACAGAGTGAGACCCTGTCTCAAAAAAAAACCCCCAAAAATATCATTGTTATAAGCTGAATGCTTGTGTCCCCCCACCCAAATTCATGTGTTGAAGGCCTAACTTCCATGTGATAGTATTTGGAGGTGAAGCCTTTGGCTGGTAATTAGGTTGAGATGAGTTCATGAGGGTAGGTTCCCTATTATAGGATTAGTGCTCTTATAGGAAGGGAAAGAGAGAATTCTTTCCACCATGTGAGGACATAGCAAGGAGGCGGCCATCTGCACACCACCAAGAGGGCCCTCAAAGGAAATTGAGTAAGTTAGCGCCTTGAACTTGGACTTCCCAGAACTTCGCCAGAACTGTGAGAAATAAATGTCTGTTGTTTAATCCACCCAGTCCATGGCATTTTGGTATAGCAGCCCGAGCTGACAAAGACACTCATGGAGTTGAATAGTTGAAAAATATAACAATTAATGAGGATTAAAATAATGTCACATTTTGAAGATATTTAAATGATTACTTTGATTTTGTCATTTTCTTTTTTTATTTTGAAGCCAATACATTTCTTTTCCAGGCTTCAGATAGTTTTAGACATCCCCGCAAAATTCACAGGCCTTACCTGTGGGGCCTTTAGTGCCTAAAAGCTAAAATGACCCTGGGGAGTTGGTATTGTCCACGTGCCGAGAAGACACGAGCTGTTTCCACATCTTCTCCATCAGAGCTCCCCATCCAGGCTGCTCCATGAGTAACTTTGAATAACAAAACTTGCCCTGATGGCTCTGGTCAGAATAGGATGACCTTGCGCTTCCTGCTACTCTTGCCACCATAGGAACCAAGAACAGGAAGGGCAATTCTAACATATGAACTAATCTGTTTCAACAATTCTCCCTCTCAGGCTTGTCTTCACTGTAAAAGCCTTTCTTCCCTTTAGAATGTACTTGGTAGTTCTGTCATGATTATCTGAAGGCCCTTCTTATTAGATCCCATCAAGAAGTCACTGCAGTAAATACATAACATTTTTACTGTTTGATAATCAACACAAAAGAGAATGAGAGAGTCCATGGGTAATCAATGGATCTTGTTAAATATTTCATACCTCTCTTTGTTTGGCTTAATGTTGATGTCACCAATGATGTGGATGTCTGCAAATTTTATCCTAAATTTGCTCAGAAGGGAAGCCATTCTGAAAATATGAAAGGAAAATACTTCATCATTGCATATTTAACTATTTTCAATCAAAGAGTTTTGTGTTTGAGTTAAGATATCAAAAGCAATCATGTCTTATTTCAGCTTAGCTTTCAGACAGAGGCTTTTTGGTTGGTGTTTGATTTTCATTACAGTACCTGATGAACACATTAAGTGTGGACCAAGCTATTTCACTGAAGGCATAAAGAAATCCCTGTAGGTGCAGACACTGGCAACAGCCAATCCAACCCTGCATTTATGTCACAGGGAACAGAATGCAAATCTGTCCACATTTCTTGTTATTTGAAAGACAGCAAGTCTTAATACTTATGGACTATAATATTGGTGTAATTTTTATAGTTACTGACAAACTACTGACAGTTATCATACAATATATCATAATATGATAAATTATATGATTAATTATACATAAACATATATTATATATACATTATACAATATATAAACATATTATAACATTATAAACCATCGTGTATATTATAAAACCTCATATATATAAGCCTTATATGTATATGGCTTATATATATATATATGAGGTTTTTTCTTGGCAACTGATAATTTTGATATAATTTCAAAGTTACAGAAAAGTGTTTAAGATAATACAAAGAACTCCCAGATTCACCAGTTGTTTATATTTTGTCCCATTTGATTTACCATTTTGCTTCTCTCTCTTTATATTTATCTATCTATTTACTTCTATCTCTATCTATCTACCTATCTACTCTAATCTTTTAAAGTCAGTTGCAGATATTAGGCACCTTTACCCCTAAATTTTTCAGTGAGCAGTTCCTAAGAACAAGGACAATCTCTTATATAAAGAGAGCACAATTTTTGAAATTGGAAAATTTAACATTGATGCCATACTACCATTTAAGCCACAAAACATTTTCAAATTATACTAATTGTCCCAATAAAATATTGGCAGCTTTAATATAAAATATTATAGACATTATGTTAGTTTCCATGTTAATATGATCCTCCTGAAGTACAATTGAATATATATATTAGTATATACATATCATATTGATTTGATTGAAAAGATATATATGCATATACGTATAATATATATGCAGTCATACACCACATAATAACATTCTGGTCAATGACAGACTGCATGTACGATCGTGGTCCCATAAGATTATAATGAAGCTGAAAAATTCCTATCACCTAGTGATGTCTTAATTGTTGTAATAATGGCATAGCACAGCCATTATTCACAGCATTATTCACACGTTTGTGGTGATGCTGGTGTAAACAAACCTACTGCACTGCCAGTCATATAAAAATACAGCACATACAATTGCGTACAGTACATAATACCTGATATGTACTTGATATGCACTTGATAACAATAATAAATGACTGTTACTGGTTATGTGTTTACATACTATACTTTTTATTATTATTTTAGAGTGTACTTCTTCTACTTATTAAAAAAAGTGAACTGTGAAACAGCTTCAGGCAGGTCATTTAGGAGATATTCCAGAGGAAAGCATTGTTATCATAGGAGATGACAGCTCCATGCCTGTTATTGCCCTGGAACACCTTCCAGTGGGATACAAGATGTGGAGGTGGTAGACAGTGATATTGATGATCCTGACCCTGGATAGACCTACCCTAATGTGTGTGTGTGTGTTTCAGTTTTTAACAAAAATATTTAAAAAGAAAAAATAGAAAAAAGCAGGCCGGGCGCGGTGGCTCACGCCTGTAATCCCAGCACTTTGGGAGGCCGAGACGGGCGGGAGATCAAGACCATCCTGGCTAACACGGTGAAACCCTGTCTCTACTAAAAATACAAAAAATTAGCCGGTCGAGGTGGCGGGCGCCTGTAGTCCCAGCTACTCGGGAGGCTGAGGCAGGAGAATGGCGTAAACCCGGGAGGCAGAGCTTGTAGTGAGCTAAGATCCGGCCACTGCACTAATACCAGACAAAATAGACTTTAAAACAAAGCACATTCCTGGCCGGGCGCGGTGGCTCAAGCCTGTAATCCCAGCACTTTTGGGAGGCCGAGACGGGCGGTTCACGAGGTCAGGAGATCGAGACCATCCTGGCTAACACGGTGAAACCCCGTCTCTACTAAAAAATACAAAAAAACTAGCAGGGCGAGGTGGCGGGCGCCTGTAGTCCCAGCTACCCGGGAGGCTGAGGCAGGAGAATGGCGTAAACCCGGGAGGCAGAGCTTGTAGTGAGCTAAGATCCGGCCACTGCACTCCAGCCTGGGTAACAGAGCAAGACTCCGTCTCAAAAAAATAAATAAATAAATGAATAAAATAAAAAAGAAAAAAGCTTATAGAATAAGGATATAAGAAAACACTTTTGCACAGCTGTACAATATGTTTTAAGCTCGGTGTTATTACAAAAGGGTCAAAAGCTTACAAATTATACAGTAAAAAAGTTACAGTAAGATAAGGTTAATTTATTATTAAAGAAAAATATTTTTTATTCTCAGGTCCAGCTTTGAAGAAAAATATTTTTGTATAAATTTTGTGTAGCCCAAGTATGAAGTGTTGATAAAATCTACAGTCGCGTAGTCATGTCCTGGGGCCTCACATTCCCTCACTGATGCACCCAGAGCAACTGCCAGTCCTGCAAGTTCCATTCATGGTAAGTGCCCAATACAAGTGGACCATTTTTTATCTTTTATGCTGTATTTTTACTATACCGTTTCTATGTTTTGATATACAAATATTTACCACTGTGTTACAGTTGTCTACAGTATTCAGTTCAGATTTGTAGCCTAGAGCAACAGGGTATACTATGTAACCTAGGTGTGTAGTAGGTTATACCATCTAGGTTTGTGTAAGTACACTCTGATGTTTGCACAATATGAAATTGCCTGACACATTTCTCAGAATGTAACAATGTAGCAATTTATAACTATATGTGTGTCTGTGTGTGTGTATGGGTATATATATATGTATACCACATTCACAGCACAATACATCCTAAGAGGGAAGAGAAAATATTTAAAATTACTGAATAAAGCCTGTCATTATTTTGTGACTTCTGGAAGTGCTGGTTCCAGGAAGGACTCGGAGCTTAGTCCCTCAGTGCCATGAGGGACTAAGTGCTGAAGGTGGTTTTCTGAATTTCCACCAGAGACCTCAGAATGTGTCATGTTCTCAGCATGCTTATTCTTCTCACATCTGGCATCAGCTCTCAATGGCTACATTAATGAGAAAGATACAGACTTACACTGTGGGATTTTTTTTTTTTTTTTTTAATTTAAATTAGAAGAGTTCTCTACAGTCATCCCTTTAAACTCTTTCAAACTACAAAGGAGAAACTGGGGACCCAGATGTATTTGGCAACTGTTGCAAAGTCCTACAGCTCCTTGATGGCAGAGCTGGGGCTAGAACCCAGGTGCAGTCTCTCCATTTAGTTCTCTTTTACATATGCTGTGCTAAGAGTGACTGCCATGAATTAGGAGGTTTGAATTCCCACAGAAAAAGCAACTGGACCCGAATTTCCTTCAGGCTCTTCTTTTCTTGGATGCCTTTACTGGTCAGAACAAAATAAGCATTATATGAGATAATGAAGCTCCTACTCAGGACTTGCGATGAGGCTTCTGTGGCACCTTCCTTTTGGAAAGCATTTGTGACAGAAGATAAGAGGTCTTGCTTGAAGACAGTGATCAGGAAAAATATGAAAATAATTTACTGACCAGAAAACCAAGTAAACACGAGGCCTATCCTAGTGGCTTTGTCTTTAAGTCTACTGTGTCTCAGAGACACTTAAAGTTATTAAAATGAAAGCATTAAAGCAACAAACCTCTGAAATGACCTAACATGTGGGTGGTAAACTACTTACGCAATTTTTTCTTCTTCAATGCGGTTGATCTTTCCTCCGACATAGATCCTTAATTTACAGTCTTTCCATTTTTTTCTGAGAGTCAAGATATAGGGGATAAGAAGTGTTAACCCTGGAATAAAGAGTGAATTATGACACGATGAGTATATCTAAATGGGAGGAAATGAATAGCTTTATATCTTTATTCATTCCCACACTGATAGCTCTTAATTAAGTTACAATCTTTGGAGAACACAGAAACATTATTCTTTAACCAGCATTGTTCCCATATACCTTCTCATGCAGTTTGTTAAGTTGATCAAGATAGAAATTCTTGTCCCTAGTGTATTTTCTGAAAGTTTTTACCTCCGTCATCAAACAACCACCAAACATCAATTGTGCCTTTTTCTTGTTTCTTTTTAAATTGAGTGCTGGCTTCCACCAGTTTCTGGTTGAACTCTCCCACGTGCATCGACTGGATTGTGTTAATGCTGCCATCTGAAATGAAGGAGGAATTGATGCATCTGTTTGCTTCTGAGGGCAGAAGCAAAATAACTTTCCAATCAATCTACTGATGAAAATAGAGAAAAGGTCACAGATTCGTGTTTATTATACCTAAAATAAATAGCGACTCTATTCTTCAAAAGGCAGAGATAAAAGTCCAATCCCAGAATAATTTAGACCACCTTCAATAGTTAAATAAAATATTGACAGTCAATAGTTAAGTAAAACAGCTTTATGATTATAGTTTTTATTAAAAAACAATGGATTTTTTCAGACCTTTAGCAATCTGTCTCAGAGTGGAGTTATTATTGAGGCATGCAGCAATGCTACTAGCCAGAAATCCCCATTTCCCCAAATCTCAGATATAAATCAACTTAATAGTATTAATATTTTTATATTTACTTCACATGTGGTAAGTGGTTTTCTGGAAATAAGCTATAGAATCAGAAATATCCTTTCATTAAGGAATTGATGTGTGAAGCACTATTTTGGTTTAAGTTCCATTCAGGTCTGGTTTCTAAAATTTGCCAGGGACCATGTGCATCTTGAACTCTGTGACTATTTGGTCCCTTAGTCAGCCTGGCTTACTCCTCTGCTTTCTTTTCAAGGAATCTTGTGAAGCTAAAGTAAACCCATTTGAGCTATTTGAATCTTTGTGAATTAGATGAAAAAAAAAAAAGCTAGAAAATATGGAAATAAAAACATCTTTACTCGAGTTATAATTCAGGGTGCATATAAAACAGTTAAAATTTTTTAAAATGCAATTTCTACCCTGACATGGATACAATGAAAGTGTACCAGGGAACTCGGCCAGTGTTGGAGCCGGACCTGTTCCTGTTTGCCAAGAGGGGTTTCTTTGCCACAGTGTACATAGTATTTCTCATATCTGTGTCTTTGAAAGTCATGACTTTATTGCTGTCTTTCAAAGAGGTGGTGTCAGCCTGGTGCTTAGAGGAGGGCTGACAGCCTCTTCAGAGCTTCCTCTCTGATCTAAGAGGTTCTGAAGATGCTTTGTTTTATCTTTTGCTGTTTCTGTGTTTAGGGTCTGTCAGTTCTGAAGCAATGATCTGATATTGTTTTTACATCCCTGGGACTGCTGAGGGAGAAAAATTTATTTACAAAATGGACCAAGCTCTGCCCTCACCTACAGACAAGTCAAAGTATCCAGAGGCCTCCTGTTCATACTCAGGTGCCTGGGGGCAGGATTGGTTCTGGTCTAGAACTCAAGAGTTGACAATAACGGAAGCCTAGAGTAGTGAATGAGCCCACTTTAGAGCTATGTTTAAACTTCTAGGTATTAAAACAGTATATAACATTATTACTTTTCTTTTCTGAACAATTTGACATGTTGACTTTTGGAAGAGTATATTTTTGCCAAAACAAGTATTGTGATGCAAAAATAAGCTTCCAGAATAAATAACAAGTCCTGCTGTCATAATGAGGACATTAATGCTTCCCTCTCTCTAGTTAGACCACACTGTTGGGCTATGACTTTTGAATTTTCCATTATTTTCCAGACTGTACCACTTAATAGAGCAGATTTAATGGATTGTTAACTTTTTTTTACAGTTAAACCAAATAGTTAGAAAGAAAAGAAGAAGTAGTTAGCATCCAGAACAGTCTTATTTAAATATTTTCACCCTGATGTAGCTTCAGCTTGAATTCAAACACATCATCTACGTCATTTTAAGGTGAACTGTAAGGAGTAGGCCACGGCCCATGGGGTTATCCCAGGAACTCGACAGTACCCAGAGTATCTGAAGTGGGGCAATATCTGGATTTCCCATCATTCTCTGTAGATGTATAAAACTATTATATTATAGGTGAAATTTCATCTTTGGGCTATAGTAGGAAAGCAAACAGATAAACCATTTGTGGGGTGGGAGATGGCCTTGTCGAAGAGCCTCTTTGAAGGGTTGGCCCTGGTCAACCTAGACCAGAAGCCTGCTAAGTCTCCACTTGGATCCTGCTGTTTGACTTGGAGACCCTCCCAGAGAAACCATCTTTTCCTGGCCTCACACCAGAGTGTGACTTCAGTAACTACAGGACGTTTATGCATAAATAAATGCCTGCTAACATTCTGATTTTGGACCAGCAGAGGTCACTGTGGACCTCATTAAACTCAAACCCGTAATGTTTCGGAAAGTAATTTTCAAAAATCCAAACGTTTGAATCGTCTGTTTATAAAACGTGTAACGAGCTCTCCCAACCTCTGATCCTCTGTCCCAGGACTGCATACCATAAGTTCACATATAAATGTACGATTTAGATGAAATCTACAGGTAGTGAGTATCAATAAAGTTCTAAGTCCTGCATTCTGGTTTGTGATAAAGATGCTTTTTTTGAAATCAGCGTTCCAGCTGGATACCGTATTTGCATGTACTAGTCATATTTCAGTTCCCTGAAATGTCTGAAAGGTAAGGGTATGTGTGGATAAGACGGTTTGGGTACTGACTCTTAAATTTCTATCCCCTTTCCATCTTAACTGAGAAACTTCTGTTTCATGGCATGCAATCTGCTTAAGCACTATTTGACTTCCAAACCAAATATTACATTTAAAAAATAATTTTTGGCAGTAAGATGGTACAAAGTACTTAATGAGGTTGATAAATGACAATAGCTGCTACCGTTTATCCATACTACCTTCTGGAGAGAAACCTTTCAGTTCCTACCTACACTCAATGCCCCCAACATCTTAGATGCTGACTTCGGACTCTTTCTAGATGCTCAAATAGTGACTTATCTTATAAACTGTCTTGCAAATTTTAAAAAGTACTTACCTTTTTTAGGCGTTGTCTTGGTAATATTCAACTTGCCAGCTTTTTTAAACAAGCCTCGGATGCCTCCACTTTCCTCTTCACACTCATTGTCTTTGATAGTCGCCTCCAATGCTAGTCTCTCCTGTTCTAATCTCTCTAATTCCTCTGATGAAAGAAGACAAATCACCCACTTAACTCAGAGCTACAAAGTTTCTAGAAACAATCTTATAAACTTTTAATATTTAAAATGGTATGTATGTGATAAGATAATTGTTTATACATAGTATATTTTTTCTAAATGATTTTTATATATTATCTTTTAATAGAAGTAATATATTTTGGTTGGGTGAGGTAGCTCGTGCTTGTAATCTCAGCACTTTGGGAAGCCAAGACGGGTGTATCGCTTGAGCCCAGGAGTTCGAAACCAGCCTGGACAACATGGTGGAAATCTATCCCTATGAACGATACAAAAATTAGCCGGATGTGGTGTGTAGTGCCAGCTACTTGGGAGGCCGAGGTGAGAGGATCACCTGAGCCTGGGGGGTAGAGGCTGCAGTGAGCCAAGATCATGCCACTGCACTGCAGCCTGGGCAATAGAGTGAGATCCTGTCTCCAAAAGAAAAAATAAAAAGTAATATATCTTAGTAAATTGTATTCAGAAAGTTGTCACAACTAGCTTAAAAAAATAGCTCTATGTGTTAGGTTATGATACATAAAGTTACTACTTTTTTTTTGTGAGGGCAAGAGAAGCTATTTAATGCCATTCTTATTCACTACCATGCAAAAACAAACAAACAGAAAATCTTTCACACTGTAAGCCACTGATTTACTGACCTAAGCTAGTGGGTCAGATGTTTACAACTGGAAGTGACAAAATTACAGAAGTACACTGGGTATATATCAGCCACACAACAATGCTTCATGAATTGAAACATAAAACTAGACAGCAAGAATTAAGAGAAGATAACAAAATCTTACAATAAACTCTATAGGCGTTGGATACAAATTACAATGGAAAGCATTCACCACCATTCCTTTCAATAAGCAAAATACTTTGTGGAGTGGGTGACCAAAGTCAAAGAAATAAAAGCTGAGGTTTCTGGGTGCCTGTCAGAGTTCACATTGCTAAAAGGGGTCTTATGACACGTTTTAGTCTGGAACAGGAGTCAAGCAGCGCAAAATTTCCTGCCCAAGGTTTAGACACACTATCCAAGCTTTCATGTTGTATCTGGCTGCCTTTTATCTTTTTTGGATTCTGATTGTGACGAAAATTTCCTAGCTGCTATGTAATGTGCTGGATCTTTCTTTGACCTCACCCCACACTGGATCCGGGTAAGTAAGACTTTCAAAGCAGTCACATGACAGTGCTACACTTAGGAGGCTTCTTGCTTCTTGCTTACACTGGGTGAGGTGGCCCTCTTGTCAGATAACCTCATCTTACTGCCTGCTGAGAACAGAGCCTTAGAAAATGAGCAATGTTCAGAGGAAGAGGATAGAAAACCTAGATTCAGTGTTACAAAACACTGGGAGAGCTTCTGTAAATGTCAACTTTCGGAGCCCATTGCCTTATCTATCTGTTAAGCGAAGCTATACAAACTCTAGATTTATCAATTATGTACTAACTAAATCTGTCAGGACAGTCACATCCCTAGACGATGCTGCTATTCAGCTACACAGAATTGTCTGGCCCCTTTCCAGGTCTTAGCAATTAATCTTTTGCTAGTGGCATGAGATTTAAGATCAAATCACCCATGTGATTTCCCCGAAGCTTCAAAGGTTCTCAAGATCAGCAGCTATAGAAAATCTGAGAAATTAGGCTGATGGTATTAAAACTGAGACAGAAGTTGCTTACCCCTGACTTTTGAAAGGTGAAGACAAGCTGCATTGCAATGGGGGGTCATGACCGATTACAGTTCTGCTGCTGGCTTTAATGTGACATTAGCCAAGTAATTTACTTTTTCTATGCCTTGGATTTCCCGTCTGTGAAATGGAAAACTGTAACCCTTTCCTTTTCCCACTCCCCAAGCTTTGCAAAAAGAATAAACAAAGTGTCCACACAGGGTTTTGGAGGTCCTTAAAGAATAGAGCAAGAACTGCATTCTGTAGGCAGTATATTTATGCAACTTTTGGAAATGGGCCTAGTCATGCAAAACAAATTGAGTATTTTGAGATGCCTGGGAGTTATTTTAGCAGTTACTATTTATTGCACACTCTTTGGGTGCCAGGGACTGTGTTGCATTTTATTCCTTTCCAAACAACTCTGAGATAGTTACTACTATTATCATCTTCATTTTGTAGATGAAGAAACTAGTAGGTTAAGTGACTTGCCTGATATCACCCAGCAAGTTACAGGGTTCATATGCAAAGAGATCTGCTTATGCTTCCCACCATGAAGACCCTCTTCCTGTGGCTTATTATTATTATTTCAGAGTTGTTTTATTACCTTCCTACGCTTTGTCATCAGATGAACCTAAACACTCTCAGGCACATGGTGTAATGCTAAGTTAATCCCCCCAAATGATGGCCCATCCAACATGTAATTTTAAAATGAGGACCCTAAAGATATAGGTCTATATGGAAGGCTGCACTAGAGCAGCAGCACTGGTACCCAGACTTTGTGGTCACTGTCCTGGATGACGGCACCCTAGCTGTTATTTTGCCTTCTGGGGTGTTGCAGGGGGCCACTTATGGGGTAACCTGCTCTTTGCAATCCTCTGATGTGGCAACTGTAAGGGCTGCCCTGGGAGGGGACTCTTCTTTTTTCTTTTTTTGGGCAGGCTCCAGTGGGCCCTATGATTAGCCACTGGTTGCCATGCTCTTTGTCCTCTAGTTTGGACAAAGAGGGAAAAAAAGATAAATCCTCCTTTGTAATGGAGTCAGCTGGCTGAGCGAACTGGGAGCGATTCCAACAATTTGCTTGAAGGTATGTGCACAGCCCATCCAGAACAGAGCAAGCTGCAAAATTGCAGGCCTGAGAGACAAAACCAAATTTTGCTCGAATGCTTTAGATGTAGCAGTTTCCTCAAAGATGATAGAGACAGAAGATTACAGAGAGTATTTATTCTAAAGGCTAAAATCAGCTTGCTTTGCCATCTTGGATTTTTAGATCCATACCATGGTGTGATCCCTATTTGCATAGTGATTTTTGCAAGTTCTTATTCAAGTTAATTCTTAATTATTCACTTGGTAGGTGATCTAAGGCCTCCTTCTGTGCACTCCTTCCTTTTCACATTTCAGCGCTAAACAGAAGTGATGTTTTGATTATCTGTTCTTCTGAATGATCTATCTGGTGTACTGCTTGCCTCTGTTTGCATGCAGGGAAATTAAGAGTAGACTTTGTCAAAACATTTTTGTCAACAGAAATCCTGGCCAGATGACTTGCAAAGGCATACCATTAACCACAAGGGGAGCAAGCCAAGAGAGTATGAATGAATGGATATAAGTTGATTTCCACTAGCCTGACAATAAAAACTATTTATTCTATCATCACCACCATCACAACTACATTTTTAATTTTTAGAAATTACAAAGCCCTTTCTACGTAGTGTCTCATTTGATACCAATACTGGGATGCACGCAGAGCTGGTAATATTCTCCCCATTTTACTGAAAAGAAACTTGGGCTCAGAAAGTTCAAGTGATTTGTTCAAGGTAGCACAGCTAGTGACCCAAGTCTTCTGCTCCCAATTGTAGTGTTTATCCCTCTTCTCCCTTCTCCTTCAGTGATATGCCTTGATCGCAATAGCTGCCTGTTGAAGGAATACCCAGTCTGCAAAACCATCCCCAAATTTCTCAATCAGAATCAATCTTCTCTACATTTCCGTAATACCTTGCTTAAACCTTTATTCCACTAACTACTGTAACTGTGTGACTCGGATGTCTATCTTATTCACAATGGACTCCAGACTCCTGGAGGGCAGAACTTATGCCCTATTTCATCACCAACATTTATTGAAAGTTTACTGTATGCCAAGTACAATAGCAAACGCTTTGCAGCCATCAAATTCTTTAATCCAAAACAACAAATCTGTGGCATAGGTACTATAATTATTCCCATTGGAAAATGCAAAAAGTGAAACACAGAGAGGATGGATAACTTGACCAGCATCACACAGACAAAAGATGTCAAAGTTGGGATCCAAACCCAGGTTTGTCTATTCCAAACCCTATGCTTGGACCTCATGTTATCCCTCCCATGTTCTTCATGGTGCCACCCCTGCCGCTATTACCTGGAGCCATGTTTGCACCAATAGGCACTCAAGAATTGTGTGTTGAAATAAATTAAAGAACAGATCAATGCTGTTCAATTCAGTTCAATAGTTTTGAAAGTACTGTCTTTATAAAAGAAGAAAAACAAGTGCAGAGTTGTGAAGAATGGGGGTGTGAGAAGTGTCTGTGTGTGTGTGTGTGTGTGGTAAGTACAAAAGACAATGTTTGAAAGAAGTGCAGTTAATACTGTATACAAAGTTATATAAAAAAGGGACAGATAGAGGACAGAAGGTGGGACCAGTGAGATAAGAGCCTGGGAGATGGAAGTGTGAGAGACAAGTGGGGAAGGAGAGGGGACTTTTCTCTGGAAAGGACCACCACCTGGAAATCCTGTAATGGTAACTACTGGGAACTTGAATACATTAGATAATTCTGTAGTATCTCATAGTTTATAAGGCCACATTGCTACTGAGAGATAGAGATAGAGATAGAGATATAGAGAGCACGCCTGCCCTTCTCTCTTTTCAAGATGTTTATAATCTCAACCTGAAGTTACGATGGTGGAAGAAAAAGCTCAGACCTTTAGGTTCTCTCAGTTGAGAGTAGGTTTCTAATCCATGTTGTTATCCACATCCCAAACAGTTTTCGTAGTAATAACTAAGAGTGACTCTTGAGCCATGCCGTCATGTAAATGCCAAAACTGCTTTGAATAGTAGTTACTGTATTTTCAAGTGCTTTATAAATTGATGATATGGTACCCAGTTGGAGTGACTATATTTTGAAACTCAATTTACTTGTCAAGATTGCTTCAAATGTTATGTCCCCAGTCTTTTTTTTTTTTTTTTTTAAGATGTCTTTTAGAAATAGGCAGAGGTCTACAAGTTACAACCTGCTTTGAATCCTAAGGATTGAGAGTCGTCAATTATCTGACACCAGAAGGGAGATCAGGGAAACCCA